GTGTAACGTGGGCTAAAGAGCAGACCACAAAATTCAAAGCATCTGATGTGTAACATGAGCTAAAGAGTAGACCACAGGATTCAAAGCATCTCATGCGTAACTTGAGCTGAAGTGCAGACCACAAGATTCAAAGCATCTGATGTGTAACATGAGCTAAAGAGTAGACCACAGGATTCAAAGCATCTGATGTGTAACATGAGCTAAAGAGTAGACCACAAGATTCAAAGCATAACCGTAACTAATTTAGAATTGCTGACCAGAGAAAGAGCACCCAGTCAGCAGAATCTGCTGCCCACTACTCTAAGCCGAATAACTGGTCACATTTATAATGTGCCCACTGATAAAAGTGGTGTAACGCGGACTCCAACTTTGAACCTTTGATCCATATGCTTACCATTTAGCCATGCCTGATCTATATAGTATTTTTTTAGCCTTTCTTTACTGGTCCGATACTACACGTTTCTAGTTAGAACAATATAATAGCATCTTCAACATACACCTCGAGCACTTCACAGTACTACTAACGAAACCTATCGTACAATACCAGAACTTGGAATGTAAGTTACAAAGCCTCGACCACAGTTTCCCACTGCATTTTTTTTCACACCTAGCGACGTGAACTTTAAATATTTAAAGACAATTTTCACACAAGCTTTAATAAAACTTATTTGCATTATACTGAGTATCAACCTTTTCTTGTTTTCCGTGTTTGTTTTTTTACCTACTTCTGAATATATATTGCTCTTTGCTGCTTATTATGGGATTAATATTTGTTAAAGCTGGCTATATTTAGCTGAAAAAGCTACGTATTGTACTTTGATTATGTCAACTTTATAATTATATTTGAGAAGGCGCATCAGCGTTATATTAGTAAACCATACATATTTTGGAAAGGTAGGACTGAAAGCATCGAATACTTAATTGCATTTTTCAGGTTTTAGACAAAACTGCATTAATAACATTATCAAAACTAGACTAAAATGGAATAAAGAAAAATAGACTGAAATGAAAAAACCATAATATTTTGATAATGATACAAAATTTTCATGTAAAGACAGATGGGCACAGCTCTAAAGGTTTTATGTATTATCTGTTAAAGTAAGTTTCCATGAAAAAAGTCTCCAAGCTAATTTTAAAAATACTTATTTCACAAAACAGTTTCTCAGATAATTCAAAAAACTGTCTCGTGGAAAAAAAAAAACTGTTCCGAAAGAGGGGAGTTATTCCAAGGAAATTAATTCTAGGAGAAGGTTTTGTGGAAATGAGTTATTCCACAAAAAGATATCTTAGAAAGAATTTATTAAACGAGTTATACCGTGGCGAGGTCTAGGTTAAAGGAATTACTATATCATAAATGAAATTACTTGTCTGATTCTAGTGAAAGCGTTATATGTGACTACTAATCCCACTATTCGTTGTTAAAAGAGTATCCAAAGAGTTGGGTGGTGTTGACTAGCAGTCTTCTCTCTAGTTTATCTAAATTAGGGACGGCACGTGCAGATAGCCTTCGAGTAGCTTTGCCCGGAATTCAGAAAACAAAGAGAAATCATTAATGAAAATATAGCAAGACATGTGTTCATTTTAAAATATAGCAGTACATGTGTTCATTTTAAAATAAAGCAGTACATGTGTTCATTTTAAAATAAAGCAGAACATGTGTTCATTTTAAAATAAAGCAGGACATATGTTCATTTTAAAATAAAGCAGAACATGTGTTCATTTTAAAATAAAGCAGGACATATGTTCATTTTAAAATAAAGCAGGACATATGTTCATTCTAAAATCTAGCAAGACATGTGTTCATTTTAAAATAAAGCAGGACATATGTTCATTTTAAAATCTAGCAAGACATGTGTTCATTTTACTTTTACAAGTTCTCTTCTTGTCCTAATCCTTCCTGTAGTCAGCATTATTGATCTGTTTCTCCTTCTTTCTCTCGCTTCTACTGTTGAATCTTTTATTCGACACATTCCTAACGTTTTACACAGTTTTCTATAGTTTATATTTCTTTTATGGGCAGTTTCCATCATTATATGGCTACATAACTCTCTGTAGATGCCTTCTTTCCTCTCTTTAACTATATTTTTCTTTCCTATTTTTCATCTTCCATTTTGACTTTCTGTTTACATTTTATCATCCTTGTAGACTTCGTTCAGCATATTTTTCTTCTTTCTCATCTCCTTCCGCATCCTTTAATATCAATTTTAACCGTTTTTCGGATATCACCGTTTTTGTTTTGCTTTCTTCCTAGTGTAAACGTACATCTTCATCTCTTTTCTATCTGTTCTCAGCAGATTACTTTTTTCTCTACGAAGGGGAGAATGACGTGTTGGTTTTCTTATATAGCGAGTTATTTCTTCTGGAAAACCGGAAATGAAATCGGGGTCCATTTGTGGTTGAATCTATTTCTCCTGGTGTTTTAGCATAGAAGACTTGATCTGGAGATGCCAAATAACGAGTTCTATTTTTGTTACTTGGCATCCACAAATTACCGGTTGCTACTCAACAGCCCCCTGTTTGCGACAGACAACATCATTAACCACAAAAGCTCGTGAAACAGTATCATTCCTAATTCGACTCAGAAGTAGTTACAAGGTTGTTTCTGATTGCTCTGTCAAGGAATAATAAAGAAAGATTTTATATACAATGTTACGACAGCGGAAGTCACGTGATCCTGGTAACACGTGATGAAATTCTCGAATGATCATGAATTATCGGGTAAGCCCGAGTTTGTTCGAGGCGCCCTCTTTTTTAGTATATAAGCCTGGCAGGGAAAGACTGGGGAAAATGAATGTATGATAAAGCGAACAGTAGTCACGGT